GTCAGTGCGCCCCGCGACCGTGCAGAGGGGTGCTCGGGGTGCGAAGGCCGGCTCAGGGAGCGGGGGTCGGAGCCCGGGCCCCCGCCCTGGTCTGCGCTGCCTCCCGGGGGCTGCTTCCTATGCAGGGGGCTGGCAGGGCGATCCGCCTCATCCCTACCATCTCCCGGGTGCAGGGAACGTGCAAAGACCCGTCTCGGGCCTGCGCAGGAGGCCTGGCTGCGCGCAGGAGGCGCAGGGTCAATGCAGGCCCGGCAGGTCCCCCCCCCCCGGGCCTCCAGCTCCTCTTCCGGAAGGTGGGCGCCGCGCACAGGGAGAGGCCTTGAGGCCCGGCCGCTCGCTGAGCCAGGGCCTGGGTTTCAGGTGCTGTCAATGCCACACCGCCGCCTGGTCTGCTGCAGCCGGCTCTTTGAGGTGACGGACGTGAACAAGCTGCAGAAGCAGGCCGCGCACCAGCGGGAGGTGTTCCTCTTCAACGACCTGCTGGTGGTGAGCAGGGGCGCGGGGCCCGGGTGGGGAGGGGCCGGGCGCGCTGGGGCCACGCCCACTGGGCGGGGCTCGTCCACCCCACAGGCCGGGACTGGGGCTGTGTTCCCAGGCCCCGCCCCTGGGGTGGGCGTGGCCAGCTCAGGATGCTTCCCAGGCCACGCCCCCTGGGAGGAGCCAAAGTACCACACACCAGGATGCTCCCAGGCCCCGCCCCCTGGGGTGGGCGTGGCCAGCTCAGGATGCTTCACAGGCCCCGCCCCCTGGGAGAGGCCAAAGCACCCCACACCTGGAGGGCTCACCATCCCACAGGCCAGGACGGATGCTCCCAGGCCCCGCCCCCTGGGGTGGGCGTGGCCAGCTCAGGATGCTCCCAGGCCCCGCCCCTGGGGTGGGCGGGCTCTCAGCCAGCGCCCTCTGCCTGGGACCGCGCGTGTGAGCTAGGTCAGGCCCGGACGTGGCTGCTAGGCAGAAGGGAGACAGGAGCCGCGCGCAGTTGCCTGGGAAGGTGGGGATACGCAGCCCGAAGATCCTGGCTCGCCCAGGGGCAGGGGACACACCGCACACTTCCATCCGCGCTCCTGCGTGGGGAGTGTGTACCGGTGTACAAATGCCACACTCTTAAGCCTGGCGTTGTCCTGAGCGCCAGGGGCGTGAGCCGGGCTTGGGTGAGGCTTGTCTCCACCGGCCGGCCCCCCCTGATCTCCTCTTGCTGTCCCCCACCCCTAACTCCACGCCCTCCACGACGCACATAGGAAATTACCGAAATTACCTTATCCCTTTCTTGGCTTTTGCTGTAGCGTCCTGATGGCAGGAAGGAAGGACGGATGGATGATGGACGGATGGATTTGTCCTTCATTCTTCCCCTGGGGTCAGGAGTCAGCTCACAGGAGGTGCTGGATAAAATATATACCTGTTGAGCAACTAGTTTAACTGATCTGTGTCAGGAGGAGAGGAACAGAGATTAAAAAAAAAAAAAAAAAGAAGCAGCTACTGGGGTGGGGGAGGGCTGGGGAGGGCGCAGGAGGGGAGGGGCAGAGATCAGGTCCACCCGGACAAAAAGTCGATGAGACCCTCAACTGAGCAGATAGGCCAGGCTTGGCGGTACAGGCCTGTAATCCCAGCCACCCTCAAGATGTAGGTTGGAGGATTGCAATCCGAGGCCAGCCAGGGTAAAACGCGCAGGAAACCCTACCTGAACAGAAAAGCCCACAGAGGTTGGGGCCCGCCCGAAGTGCGCACGAGTCCACGTGTGTGTGTGTGTGTGTGTGTGTGTGTGTGTGGGTCTTTGTCTCGCGCAGATTCTCAAACTGTGTCCGAAGAAGAAGAGCTCGTCCACGTACACCTTCTGCAAGTCGGTCGGCCTGCTCGGCATGCAGTTCCAGCTCTTCGAGAACGAGTGTAGGTCCAAATGAGATGAGGTGGGGTGAGGGGCAGACGGGGCAGACCCGGTGTTCTGGTTTTGGGGGCTTTTTTATCAGACATGGGGCTTGAACTCAGGGCCTGGGCCCTTCAGCTCGAGGCTGGCGCTCTACCCCTTGAGCCATGGCGCCACGTCCGGTTTTCCGGTGGCTCCCGGGGGATGAGCGTCAGGGCCTTCCCTGTCGGCAGATTACTCCCACGGCATCTCGCTGGTGACGCCGCTGTCGGGCTCGGAGAAGAAGCAGGCGCTGCACTTCTGCGCGCTGGGCTCCGACGAGATGCAGAAGTTCGTGGAGGATCTGAAGGAGTCCATCGCGGAGGTGACGGAGCTGGAGCAGATCCGGATAGAGTGTAAGACGTGGCGGCACCGGGCCTCAGGGCCCAGGGATGACGCCTCAGCGCCAGGCAGGGGCAGCCCCCCCCCGGCCCCAGCCCCTCTGAGCGAGCAAACTGGGGAGCACAGAGAGGTTCAGGACCTGCCTGAAGTCACACAGCAGCAGGGAAGCTCAGGGCTCAAATCTCGGCCCGCCAGCCAGCCGCCCCTCCCCCCAGAATCGGGCTTCGCGTCCGCGAGGCTGGTGCGATAGCACCTGTCTCCTCTCGCCTTGTTTCCCACGGGACTTGCTTGCACTCAGGGCATGTGGCTGGGCCGTGTGACGCCCACTTTAGGCTTCCTGTGTGTGCTGGGGATGACACCCCCACCCCCCACCCCGCCGCCCCCCTTCCCCAGCCTCATGGACTTTCTGCTGCCTGGGCTGGCCTCCAATCACAATCCTCTGGTTCTTGGCCTCCTAAGTGAGCTGGAGCGACCCTTGTGGCTAGCAAGGATTCAGTGGGGGTTAAACCAGGCAGAGGGAGAGGGAAGGAGGGAGGAGAGGACGGCGGGGGGGGGATAAAGGACAGGGGGGCTCCGGAGCTGCGGGGGGCGGGTTGCTCTCCCTCCTCTCCCCTGCCCCCGCGTGCTGGAGGCCGCTCTCCTCTGACCAGGCCCCTCTGTGTCCTCAGGGGAGCTGGAGAGGCAGCAGGGGACGAAGTCGCTGTCCCTCAAGGCCGGGGGTGCCCAGGTGGACGCTCAGCCCAAGCAGGGGTCCCCCCCAGGTGAGCACGGACCCCCAGACTGGCCCTCCTCCCCACGGTGGGAGGGAGGGGCAGCACAGCCAGGAGCCCTTCAGTGTGCATGTGTGTGTGCGTGCATGTGTGTGTGTGCGTGCATGTGTGTGTGCGTGCATGTGTGTGTGCGCGTGCATGTGTGTGTGTGTATGTGCGCACACACGTGTGTGCGCATGTGCTCCCACCAGGCCCGGGGCTCGAACTCAGGGCCTTGTTCTCTTGCTCAGCCTTTTTCACTCAAGGCTGGCGCTCTACCACTTGAGCCACAGCGCCCCTGCCCAGCCTTTTTTGGTGCGGCTGTTGTCGGTCCATCAGAATCACAGGGGATTCGTCTGCCCTAGCTGGCTTTGAACCTCAGTCCTTGGAGCTCAGCCCCCGTTGGCCCGGCTGAAGTCTCTTTATCTGGAATCGCTCTTCCGGCTCTCGCTGCGGTCCAGCCCCAGTCACCACCTCCCCTCCTCCGGCCCTGAGATGGGGAGGAATCGGATGGCAGGAGAGTTAGGCCCCAGCTCAGCGCTTCTCTCGTACCCTAGCCCTGAAGAGGGACGGGGGGGGGGAGGTGGCCCCGCACAAGGTCCGCTTGAGCTGGTAGACTGGAGTGGACGCCTCGGGCCCCCGCCCCCAGCTGGCCCGGAAGCCACGCTCAGGACAGACGGACAGCAGCACAGGGATGTTGTTGGTGGTGGTGTTGGTCCTGGGGCTTGAACTCTGGGCCTGGGCGCTGTCCCTGAGCTCTTCAGATCAAAGCTGATGCTCTACCCCTTGAGCCACATATGTGGCGCCACTTCCGGTTTTCTGGTGGTTCATTGGAGATCAGAGTCTCACAGACTTTCCTGCCCAGGCTGGCTTTGAACCTCGATCCTCAGATCTCAGCCTCCTGAGTAGCTGGGATGACGGGCGTGAGCCACCGGCGCCCAGCCTTTACCTCTCAGCTAGGCTATGTGACAGAGACTAAAGACCCCCTTCTCCTGTGGACCTGGCGCCCACAAATCAGGGCTGTCTCTTTGCCAGCATCCCAGTCCCCCGGGGAGGCTTTGGCAGCGGGCAAGATGCGTGCTAGACTGCTGTGCTAGATGGCCAGGGCCCAGAGAGGTTCTGCCTCTGGTGGAAAGTCACACAGCTCAGACCCCACTGGGGCCTGCGCCCCAGCCCAGGCTAGGCCCCGGGTGGAGAAGCTTCCAGCCCTGGTGGCCTGAGCCAGCCTTGTGCCCTTTGTATTCAAAGCCAAAAGCCAGCCGGCGGCCGGGGAGAAGCCCGCTGCGGTGGCCGAGAGCCCGGGGGAGGTAAGTGAGGCCTGGTGCCGTCCAGGTGAGTGACCCCGTGACCCCGTGACCCGCACCCGGCTTCCTTCTCACCGTCTGTGTTGTTTCTCTCCCCAGGTTTTACTCAGTGCCTCCCCAGCCCGAACCACCATTTTACCAATTTCAAGAGATACAATTAAAAGTTACTGCTAGCATGGGTAATGCCACCTCCCGGGGCCGGCCGCCCCTCCAGGGCGGAGATCCGGAGACGCAGCCCCCCCCCGCCCGCCCTCCCTCCCCAGCGAACCCCAGAGCTTCTCACATCGCCCCCCGCCCCGTGGTTCCATAGAGAGGGAGTCCCGTGCCCCCCCCCCGCTTCTGGGCAGCGCCACGCTTCCGGATCCCTCTGGGCAAAGCGGACAGGGGTGGGGAGCAACTCAGGGCCGAGGCCGGACCCCGGAAAGCCAGCCTTGGGCTGCGTGCAATTAGAACGAGCGGCGGGAGGCGTTCCCACCCATCCCCAGGCCACAACCAAAGACAGCCCCAAAGCCTGGACCCCCAGGGGCCCCTCCGTGGCTGCCGGGCCTCGGCCCCCCAGCTGCTTCACACACAGTCCCACCCCCCCACTTCAACCCCGGGGTTGGATCCTGAGCCCCAGGGCCCGGGGGCCTTTTCCGCCCAACCCCACGCTGTGGTGTGTGTCGGGGACACCCCACTTTGGAGGAGCGTACAGCTCCAGCAGCCTAGCCCCTCGCCTGGCCCCCCTGTACAGCACCAGCTCCCCCTCCCTCGGCCCCGCCCCACCTCGGGCTCCACCGAGACCCGGGCTGCAGCCTGCCAGCAGCTCCAGCGCTCCCTCCTCCCCTCCTCCTCTCCCTCCTCCTCCCCCTCCTCCTCCCCCACCTCCAGCAGGTGCTTCTCCATCTCTGAGCTGTCCTAACTCTGCTATCCGTGCTCACCTGTCTGTCTGTCTGTCTGTCTGTCTGAGTAGGGAGGGGAGGAAGGGGAGCGGGTGATTTGCTGTCACTTCTTGCTTTTCACTCACCGGCTCTTCCACATGAAGGGCGCAGGCTGGCCTCGCACAGGGTGCCCGCCGCGGGGAGGGGAGGCGGGGAGGGGAGGCGGGGAGGGGAGGCGGGGAGGGGAGGCGGGGAGGGCCAGCGGCCCGGAGGGGCGGCCCTGCGGGAGGACACGGAAGGCTCCGTTAGCTCCAGGCAGAGCCGTCTTGGGCTGGGCCTGGGATAAATCCCTGGCTGCCGCCCCTCTGCAGTGAGTCTGGGTGGTGGGAAGCATCCTCAGCCTCAGTTTCCCCCCTGCCCTGTGCGGCGGGGACACAAGTAGGAAGCATTCCACCCCGGGTATAGGATAAGGAATTAAATCCTGCTTCTGGAACCTTCCGGCCTCTCTCCTGTCCCTGTCCTCCAGGTCTCTGGCTAGCAGAGGCCGCCAGGCTGGTGTGCTCACGCCGGCTCCATGTTCTGCCACACTGGGGCCCGCGAGCGCCCCTGCCCGAGGGGTGACGCTTAGAGAGGCCCCCCCAGGCACACTTAACCAGAGCCCAGTGGGGTGCTGTCTTGGCGAGTGCCATCTCGGGGTTCGGACAACCCTAGGAGAGGGGTTGGGGAGCGGTAGGAGGGACCCAGCGTCAGGTCCTCTGGCCCGCAGCGCAGCCCTGGAGGGCATGAAGGGGCACAGGTCACAGGCCCTGCTCCTCCAGCGCTGTGGGTGGAGCTAGCTCAAGAGGTGGGAGGGGCTAGCCAGAGGGGCGTGGCCAGAGTGAACAGACCACAGGCTGGAGGCCAGGGCTGTCCCCCCCCCCAGGCCCGGTGAGGCCGTGGGCAGAGGGGGGAGGCTGAGCTCGGGACCCCCTCCCCCGGCAGAGGGGGGAGGCTCAGGGTCTTCAGGCCGGGGAACTGGTCTGTAACATGTCACGCTTCTCTGGCTGTTTCTAAACTAGGTATCAATTCACAACAGGCTCCAAACGCCCCAGCACACGTCCGGGCTGGGGGCCGAGAGGGGACCTCCGCCATCACCGCCACCGCCGCCGCCGCCGCCGTCAGACCCGCAGCCTAGCCCCCCGGGGGAGCCGGCCCTGCGACCTCTGCCCCCCGCGCCCCCCGGCACCCTGGTCCAGTGCCAGCAGATCGTGAAGGTGATCGTCCTGGACAAGCCCTGCCTGGCCCGCATGGAGCCGCTGCTGAGCCGGGCCCTGTCCTGCTACGCGGCCGCCTCGTCCCCC